CTTACACAAAAGATGGGGCAAAAGATCAGATCAGATTTAGATCAGATATCAGGAATAAATTCTTTGCTTTGAGGGTGGTGAGGCACTGGAATATATTTCCTTGGGACGCTGTGAGTGCTCCATCCCTGGAGGTGTTCAAGGCTAGGTTAGATGGAGCTTTGAGAAACCCAGTGTAGTTGAAGGTATCCCTACCTGTGGCAGGGGGTTTGGAACTAGATGATCTTCAAGATCCCCTTGCAACCCAAACCAACTCTATGATTCTGTGAGTCTGAATCATACAGTGGTTGCCTTATCCTTGCCTCCCACCAACTTGAGTCTCACACAGGCTCATGCTGATTGCACAGTGGCCCCAGTGCACAGATATGGGGCAGTGAAGAGGGAAGTGCTGTGCTCTTCCTTCCCCTGCCTCTTCTGCAGAATGGTTTCACTGCAGGATTCAGCATTTTAGCAGGTATGAGTGGTTTGTCTGGAGTTATACCTCATCTTTTTTTTTTTCCCTTTTGTCTGAAATATATTACATGATAGAAAAAAAGTGTAGTGAAACCAGAAAAATGAAGATGTGAGAGGGTGGGGAGGATGGAGGCAATGGTGATTATTCCTTTTTAGAAGATTGCTTCTATTAGTGATTTTCTGTTAGTACATCAGACAGCAGGGGAATTTGATTTTAAATGCAATGCTCTTCCCTAATCTTGTGCACTGATTTCACTAGAAGGTAATGATGAAATAGTATTTAAGAAATAAGGATGAAATCATATAAATGTGACACACCAAAATGCTTACTCAATGATTTTGTCTTCATTACGTGACAAGCTGTAACAAAATACATTTAACTGTCTTAGCACTTAGAAATACTGCTGTCTTTTACTATCATAGTATTTTTTATTATGACTGACAAGCCTGAATATTGTGTGTCCTTATCAGTAGTGTTTCAGGGATGAAAAAGACTGCATTGCCCATTCACTGATACAGGGTGTAAGACATTAATCTGACTGACTCTACCTACTTTTTAATTATGGGATTTATTTTATTATGTTTAGACAAAAGGGGAAATGAATAGTCATATGATCTTTTTTATAAACTGTAACTTAAATATTTTAATCATCTAAATGCTTTGTGATTAAATTGAAACTATATCAATTTTCTTTTCAGCTTCTACTTAAATAGTAGATGCATCCTACTGTAAAAAAGCAAAAGCGTTGTTTAAGTAAGAGTGACTTTTTATATCAAGCTTTTGTATTTTTTGGTTGTTTAAATATGCTAGGTTATTTTCTCTGCCCTTATTCACTTTATAAATTGCATTTAAAAAAGACACCTTAATCTTTGTCCGTGTAAACACACAAATGTAGAAGTGTGTAAAAGTGATAGATCTTTTGGCTAGAATGGCTCTAGAAGTGAAGGTGGCTCAGTGCATCTGAAGAGCATCACTGAGCCCCAGTAGCTTTCCCACACACCTTGTGTTGATGGACTGCTCCAGCTCTGCAGGGCTTGTAGCAGGCTTCTCAGCACATCATGGGCAAAACCAGCAGTTAGCTGTGATATGCAAAGTGGGGGAAAAAAAAGATTTTTCAGAGATGTTTTAATGTAAAAGGATTGCTGTTGTTACTAGCAAAATTGCTTTCTGCATTCCTGAAGGAGTGTTATTGAATTTAGTTGAATTTAGTTATTTGTATTGTGTGTGTTTTAATAATTAATTTTTATTGCATTTAGAAATTTAATCTGCCTAAAGACAATGGGTTTCTTAGATTGAGAGGGGATCTTGTTCTGACTGATTGTGGGTCCCTAGAGGGCAGTCCTGGGCCACCTATTCTGCTTTCTCTGTTTTGCATTTTTTTGAAAGTCACGATGATTGATGCAATACTTTCATTATGTTTTTCTTTCCTGTTTCTTATTTAGCTCAAACTTCTTGCAGTTAGCTGGTTGTGGGACTCCTTGCACCAGCATTTTTAAGTGGTACAAAATGGCATTGAAGCCTGCCCTCTGCCTGCAGAAAGGGGCTTGTGTAATTGCACAGATAAAGTGCAGTATGCAATCCTAGGGCTGCTAAGAACATTTTAACAAAGTAATTGTGAAGACTTGCAGGAGACAACCTCATGGAGAATTTTGTGTGGTAATTTTCATGTAGTCTTTCTACCATCTACACTGTAAGCCTAAATGCTGCCTTCCAGTTTTTAGAGGACTTCGTCTCCAACCTCCTAGGTACAATTTTATGACAATGAGTGTCACATGTATTTGATTATAAATTCATTTTTTTCCTTGTCTGTGACCAAAAAATTGGCTGTAGATACCTGTGCAGTGTGTATCTATAGTAACTATAAGGCCTGAGCTTGGGAAACACAGGATAGGAAGGGCTGCCTGTGCACTTTGGCTAGCTCATTCCTATCTCAGGTATCCAGTTACGTTGTTCTCTCTGTGAGTTACCATGCTCCTAACAAAGGAGTCTCGGAATCTGTGAACATATTAACAGGACAGAGCACAACATTCACCTGAAGGTGGGCCAGTACCCCAAAGAGCGTTGTCAGGGATGTGTGGGCATGCAGAATTTACTGATCCATATGAGATGTGAGTGGGCACAGGCCTGATGTACTCATGCTGCCAGTACAAGTGGAACCAGCTCACTTGTGTGAGGGAGCTTCAGGCCGCTTACGCTTGGCACCTGGCAACAGCTCCACCCTACCTCCCAGCTTAACTTCTAGTGTTTTCATACACCATCCTTTTTCAAGACAGTAAAGATGATGAATAGAGTTTTCTACTTCTGAGAACACCCTAAAGCCTTCAGTGTTGGCAAATGTCCCCACAGACGGGGTTTGCATGATGTGGCATGTGCTGATGAGAGATCTGGCTGAGGCTGCACAGCTCTGCTTTCCCAGCATTGAAAGAGACATAAGATTATCTTTGCTATTTCCTTTTACTGTCTCAGATTATCTCCAACAACCCAAATTTTAATCAATATCCCATGGATTCTGAGCACCTTTCTCACTGGACTCTATAATGAAGATTTGCATCAGTACATTGCAGCTGCCTTTGGTACTTCTCTAACTCTACAGTTCACCTGATTTAAGGCAGCATTTTCTATTTTTTTTTTTTTTTTTTTTTTTTATTTAAAAGATATACTGGTGAATCATAGGAATCTTGAGCACAGTTTTCCTTAGCCTTTGATTCTGAATGGCAAATGGTTGTTTTTGTGTTTAAAGTTAAAGAAAATAAAATAGTGGTGTAATTTCTGAGTGCAGGAGGAGTAAATGGATAAAAATCAGCATGAGCCAAGCTTCAGGGTCACATACTTATTTTCTAACTATTGTGCCATTAGTAAATTGAAAAGGAAAACTTCAATTTTTTTTGTACTGCTAAGACTAACAAAAACATTGATATGATAGCCACAGCTAATACCCGAGCAAGTTCCCTCCATGGCAGTAACTACTGCCACACCTTGGCTTCTCCCTTTTCAAGTATCTGCTGCCATCTTTTGCTAGCTGGCTTCCCAGTCAGTCCTGCAACTCTGGCTTTGCAATGAAGCTCAGCTTTCTCTGCTCACCATGACAATTGGTTATCACAATGAAGGCAGTAAGGATATCAAAACAAATCAACAGATTAATGTGATGCAACCAAACACTGCAACAGTACTTTCATATTTTAAATTTCCAGTTTTCCTGCCCTAGCTTAGCCTCTCTAAATCAATATTTTTGCATACCCTGCAGATGATAGTGTTCTTGAATATTTCTTCCTCAACAGAAGATTTTTTTGTTCTCAAATAATGTCTTGCATACATGTTTTATGCAGCTTTAACTGTATCTAAATAATTACCTGCAATTACATTTCTTGATATTTTTTATTCTTGTATCTTTAAAAGATTTGTACATACAATCATAATCTTAATGTCTTCATCAAAGTTACCTTGTGCAACAAGGCCTAAAGTAGAAATGGTACGAAAAATTACAAAAAGTGCTTTAAAACTCTGTTTTGATTTGCCCTGCTTAGTTTCAGAGGAGAAAGATATATGATGAACACATATGGCAGCCAAACCCAAAAAATATGATGGCTGCTATAAACCACAGTTTTGCCCTAAATATGCTTGTGGTTGTCTTAGAGACACGGTATGACTATAGTCTCTTCTCTTACCAGGCACAGGTAAAATATAAGATTACTGGATTATATAATTGCCTTAAAAAAACCTAACAACTACATTTGCCTGTCATTGGCACTTTCCCTAAAATAATCAGGGCAAGTATTGCCTTGATTTTTGCAGTTCAAGTCAGTTGTTGTGGAGGACCTGGTGACCACACAAGGCATATTTGAAAAGACAATTTCAGACTAACTGCTGTCAGGCAATGTTGATAGGTTGCCCAGCTAGCTGGAGTTTAAGTTTTGCTTCATCTGAAAGGAATCTGTTTGATGGGCTCCAGGATTGTTTTGTTACACATGTGCTCTCTTGATACAAATAAAAAAGCTAAGGCCACATGCCCCAAGGAGATGATATATGTGAAAAGGGAAAGTTGTCAATACTGTAAACTGTGAAAGACAAATGATCTTGAAAGCTGGAACAAAACCACTGGACAGCATCTCAGGCAACTTCCATCCCATCCCTCCCTAAAAGAATGATCTCACTCTGATTTTCTTCTAAGTGTAACTCAAAAGGATTTAATTATTTAGCACAGGCACTGCACTCCCTTCCTTGGCTATATAATGTTTATCAAATAAAGCAAGCAGATGCCACCACTTGATGGAAAAAGGACTTCTCAGTGATACTTTATGTAGCATTTGCACTTTGGAGAAATGCTATACACCAAATACTATCCTCAAGTCCAGTCCCTTAATTTGCAAAGAAGTAGTCTTATCTGAACTTCTCAGCTGCAGAAAGGTGTACCATGATCATCACTCCTCTGCAATCCATTTTCAAAGATGACACTGGTGAATGAATAGACCCCTCCTTCTGCTAATTATGACTGCTTATTCTATCTTAGAGCTTTATGAGGCAAAATACATCTGAATGTTTGAGTAGATTAAAAAAAAAAAAAAAGTAAATTCGTCTACATAGATCTGATCTGGAGGATGTTTGGGTAACATTTTCCTTAGCATCACCTTCATTGGTGGATCTACTGATTCTTGGTCTGCTTTGAAGTGTCCCTGGTGACCATCCTAAATGTTCATGCAAACTAATGTCAATGTCCACCTTCCTCAGATAACCCACTCCTCTGCTGGTCTGAATATTTTTGCTATTTCATGAAATCCAGCCTTTTCAGCTTTACTACACTTTTTTATTTTTCTTTTCTGAATTTGAGTTCACAGTTAAATTATTGAAAAGTTCTGATTCTACCTGTTCATTTTGGTAATATTTTAACAACATGTTTTACATCAGAAACCTTTTTCCCAGAAACATTTTTTCACTATTAGTAGTATTATGACAAATATAGGAGAAAAAGCCCCATCACAACTTCATACAGCAGAACCTCTAGCATGTATACCTCAAGAAGTATTCTTATGAAGTTGTTATTTTTTAAAATCAGTGCTTCTAGAGCATTATAGTGCAGAACTCAATCAGATTCCAGTCACAGATATTTTTTGGTGGTGCAAAATAATACAGAAACTAAAAATCTTGCATAGTCTTGCATTGTTTGACAAGGAGTTAATGAGAAACATTTCCAAAATTAAATATGGATAGAAATGTGACCAAAGAGAGACAAGCTGACTGCATAAATCCTGCTGTGTTTTCTAGGTCAGGAATGAATTAATTTTCTGTGTACCTCCCAACAGCTTTGGGCCTGGAAGTGTTGCAATGTGCCTCCAGCTAGCACTGCATACCTTGTACTGATGGAACACTCTTTATGCAGGCACAGCAGGGGATAATCTTTCATCTTATCTTATCTGCAGCTAAGGACAGGATGTTTGAACATACTTCAAGTTGGTAAATATAATAGTACCAGAACATACAATGAAAGAAGTACTAGAAGCAGTATGAAAAGGGATGGAAGGGACAGGACATGTCTGGATTATTCTCCACAGTTTTGGAGAACACTTGTAATTTGCTTAGCAAATGTTATGATGTATTTTTAACAATAATAAGAACATCTACCTTGCTAGTTCTTGGTAGTCCATGTTTGCTGCCTGCTTTGTGAGGAACATAAGAAAGGGCTTTCCTCTACCTCAATATCTAGTTTAGTAGTTAGTCAACAAGTAAGTGGCAGCGCAGTGTTAAAATTGCCTGCATTTGATGCCAACAAAATCGTTTGAGGAACTTCTGCTTTGAAAAACTCTGGCTCTAGCTGTAGCATGAGAGTGAAACGGAGAACTAAGAATCACCAGAACCTAGAGAACATACTGTTCTCAGAACAGCCACAATTTAAGTAAACTCTGTAAATACCAGGACTATTTAGTAGTTTTTAAGTTTGTAGATAAAACCTTGGGGACTAAATAAGACTAACTTGTATGTTCAGGCTTCTAATATCTCAGTGACAGTCTGGGAAAGTCAGACCAAGCAGCCAAAACAGCCGATTGAATAAGAAAATAAATCAGCTGGTGTCCCTGAGATGTTCCTGCCAACAGCCTCCACAGCGTCCTGAAGGGCTCTTTCTCTTCTAGTGACACGGTCTCTTCAGCTAGGTAGGTTTGCAGCTGCTCGTACTTTGGAAACGAACAAACAAATGTCAGTCACCTCAGATCTCGCAATCTTGGAGGATTTCCTGGGGCGGAGGCTGAGCCCAGCAGCAGCGAGGGGCTGGGGCGGCTGCTCAAACGCTTTGGGTTTCGGAGCTTGCTTTTAACCAGCCCCTCTCACCTGCTCCGGGCGGGGACGGGGCCCTGCCCTGCCCTGCCCTGCCCTGCCCTGCCCTGGATACCCCGCTGCTCCAGGGACACTCCACTGCCCCAGGGACACCCCGCTGCCCCAGGGACACCTCGCTGCCCCAGGGACACTCCGCTGCCCCAGGGACACTCCACTGCCCCTGGACACCCCGCTGCCCCCGGGCACGGCTGGCTCGGCAGGCGGGGGAAGGCGTCGCTGGGAGGAGCCGCCCGTGCCGGGCCAGCGGCGCTGCGGTCCCTCGGCTGCCGGGGCTGTCCGGGAGGCGGCAGCGGGGATCCTCCGGCCCCGAGGAGCAGGTAGGGATTCCCGGAGCGAGGTAGGGATCGCCCCAGCGAGCCTTCGGTGTGACGGGGGCCAGGGTCTTGCCCGGCCTCCGAGAGCCGGGGGTGTTCGGGCGGCGGGGGCCGGGCAGGTGCGGACAGCGCTGCTCTCCTGGCTCCTGGAACAGGGCGGGCGGCCTCAGCCAGCCCGGGATAAGCCGAGCAGGAGATCCCTAGAGCTGCTGCGCCGATGGTCGCACTTGGCTCCGGCGCCTCGCTTTTGGGGCTGGGAGGTGGCTCCGACCGAGGTCGCTGAGCCTGGCGCGGCACCCAGCACCCCCCGGCAGCCGCAGCCCCTTCCCAGGGAATGCTCCCAAGAACACGTGGCAATTTAAATGAGCAGTATTGGAAAAGTATTTCCTGCCGTACCCGCTGAGGGATGCCAGCGTTTTGCAGAAACGCGGCTACCGGGATAATCGCGGTGCTGTCATCCTGACGCGGCTAACTCAGCTCTTCCACTCTGACTAGGTATGTCCAATGAAGGAATATATGTGCTGTCATCATTTCTTTCGTGATCGAAAGTGACACACTTGATAGAAGAGGCATGGTGTACCTTGCAGTTAATAGGAGCATTTAAGGTAATATGAAAATATATATCTATATATGATTTTTTTTTATGATTTAAAATGTTCCTAGGCTTATATACCAGAAATAGCGTGATACTTGGACTTTCTGTTGGTTCTCTCAGTTCTGAGGATTGTTGCATGTTTGGATCAGTTTGGGCTTTTGAATAAGAGATGCAAATAAGCCTGCCACCAGTTTGCCAAAGTCAGTGGAACCTGTGATCCTTTGAAGTTTTGAGGAGACTTCTTTTGTTGAGTAGATGAACTTTGAAAGGACTAAAAAGCAGATATTAAGAATATTAAAAGAAATTAATGAGAAATTTTAATGAAAATTATGCCTACATGCTATCATCGATACTGTAATTGTAATTCAGACGTGTATAATTAAAGACCTATTTTAGACAGTTGATGGGGTTTTTTTTGGGGGAAGGGGGGTTGGCTGTAATATTTTTTTTAAACTGCAGCTGATAAAAATATTTCCTTTCAGGGTGAAACTATGGACATGGCTACACATACCTGATTTTTTTTTTTCCCCCTTTAGAAAATATGGGCAAAGATAACTAGAGCTGAAGTCTGTTGTGAATGATAAAGCTCCACAGGTCGATTGAGTGCTCAAGATGTGGACAGAATGGCTGGGAAAAGGGAGACATTTAGCTGTTTGTCATGGCAGAATGTGGTAGGAAAAACATTTGCAATTAGTTCTGCAGTTATATGTGTGTTATTTTCATCCTTATTTATGTGAATGCATGCGCAGAAAAGAGCCTAATTTTGCTATTGTCTACCTTCCATAGAAACTGAAATTTTTCATCACAGAAAGTGAGACACAAGGGAGTCTCCTCAAAGTAGTGCATATGGTTTTACACAAGGCTATATGTATATATGTTTGTAAGTCTTCTGTATTGACAGAAGGGAAAATAATAAATGTAAACAGATAGAAAGATCATTGAAATTATAGAAAAGCAGGATCCTGGAAGACTTTCTTTCAGGATGTGGTAAAATACTACTTCTGCATTGGGTGAATCTACTGGTGGGGCAAAAATCTTCTTGAGAAAGCTTGTGAGACGGAACACTGGAGCAAGGTAATGTTGTGAGAGAATGGTTTGTGAAAAACCAGTGATGCAGAGAAGTCGTAAAGAAAATACTTTCTCATAAGTGGAGTCTATTCAATCCTGTTTTATCTTTAAATTGTATCTGTTACAGTATTTTCCTCTTTGTTTTAAAATAAAAAATTATAGACTTTTAAGAGTTACTGAGCATCACAAATAATGGAAAAAAAATTGTAGCTTTTGTACAAACACATATAACTTACCTCCCGAGATTTTAATGTTTTATGTATTTCTAGAGCCAGGATTCTTTCAGGGACTCATCCCATCTTAGAGCTAGACAAGAAAAGACCTGCCTGGTAATTTGAGTGGAAATTTGTAAGGAGGGAGGAGGAAAGAGAAGGGAAGAAGAGAAGCAGGCGCTGCAAGAAGCATTGTGGATGACTCAATACATGGCACACTTCTGAGTCAGTCTGGTGAAGAAAGGCACAGCAGCCAGAAGTGTCATCTTGGACTCTTGTAGTAAATGGTGATCAGCTCAGTGACCACCAATGATCAGGATGGGCTTCTCCTGCTCATACTTCAGCTGGAATGGTTGCATTTGTCCTCTCACTGAGCTGTGAAACACTGTGGTAGGCTGAACAGTAAAAAAGCCAGTAAAGCAGGTCAAGCTAAGGAGCAGCTTGCCAGAGGCATGCAACTGAGATCCTTCTCCAAGCATGTTAGGGATCGGGGGACTACTGAAGAGTCCTGACAGTCATTCTCAAATATATAAATAAACATGTAAATGATAAATGTCTAGATTTTAGGTGAAGAAATACCACTACTAGAGTCCTGAACAACTTTTCTCCTCAGCATGTATTTTGATGATCAGAGGGAATCTCTTTGAGTGGCAGAATTTGCCAGCAATACAAAGCAATTCAGGCTAGAACATGGAGGTGTAAATTGCAAAGAGTGGCACAAAGATGTCTCAATAGTAAATGACTGGGTAATAACAGCAGAATAAAATTGTTGTAGAGAAATACAAAGAAAACTTAAAATGTAAACATATGGCCAAAATCCTAACATCATGTGCTCAACAGCTGACTGAGTTTGCCTGATTCTTAGCACCCAATGATGAGATCTTGAAATTTTGCTACATAAGCCCATGGAAATATCAGATCAATACTCAGTGATATTCAACAAATATATGGCTAAAAATCATTAGGAAAAAATTCCAGAAAAAACCAAACAATTGTCTTTGTTTATAAATCCATAGTACACTTTTATTTTGAAGACTGTATGCAAGTTCTGTCCTGTCCTCCCCATCTCAGACATGTTGTAGCATAACTGGATGCAGTACAAAGTGGGTGGCAAAAAAAAAGTCAGAATTATGAAATCAGATTCCATCTAAGGGAGAGTTAGAGAATCTACGATTGTAGCTTAGGAAAGCAAGAAGTGGGAAGGACTGTGCTAGAGATATAAGAAAACCAAGTGCTTGGCAAGCTGAAATAGGAGATGTTCACTAATTTTTTAATTTTTTTTTCTTCTGGTGTAATAATTAGGAGCTGTCAGGTAAAACAAGCAGGTAACAGGCTCAAAACAAGTCAAAGACAATTCCTGTATTTCACTTGTCGTCTTTAAATTGTGTAATTACTGTATTAATTGTATAATGCATGAATTGTGTAATGCAAATGTTTACATTATGGAAGTTCATATTGGAAGCCACTAATTGAAAGTTTTCTTTCCATTTTGGCAGGAAAATATGACAGCAAAAGCACTGTTTTCATATAACATTGCAACAGCATTTCTGTCTTTAATTATTGCAAGTAAGTCTATCGGTGGCTATGGAAAGTTTTGTTCTGAACTTGTTATGGAACTTTTTTTTCACACAAGTAATACTGACTTTCTGTGAAAATGGCTGTAATAGTAAAATTTACATGCATACCAATGAGTTCCTTTAAATAGTGCCAAGAGCAGGAACCTATAAAACATATTATGTGGTATTTTATCTTTCAACTTATAACAGAATCATTTAGGTTGGATAGGAGCTCTTGACATCTAACCTTACAGGGTCAAGTTTTTTAAAATCTCTGCAAATGGAAATTCTTCAACTTCTATGGGCATCTTGTTCCACTGTTTGATCTCTCTTACAATAAAAAAAAGTCTTTTTTTTGTGTTCAGATAGAATGCCTCATGTTTCAGTTTGTGCTCATTGCCTCTTTTCCTATCAGTGCATAATGCTGGCAAAAGTCTGTCTTGTTCTTCATTCCCACGCATCACATATTTACACACATTAATAAGATCCACCCACACACTCCTCAGACCTTTTCTTCTCTAAGCTGAGCAGTTCCTGCTCTTTCATTCTCTACTCATGTGAGAGGTGCTCTGCTCCCTGAATCATGTTTGTGGCTATCTGCTGGGCTCTCTCCAGTAAATTCAAATCTGGCATGAACCTAATGCATTCCAGGACAGTGCTAGCCTTCTGCCATGAGGGAGCATTGGTGGCTCCTGATCAGTTTGTGGCCTACCAGGACCCCAATGTTCTCTGCAGATCTGCTTTCCAGCTGAGTGGTCTTTTGCATGTACTGGTGTCTCTTACACTGTCTCAGAGTATTAGCATTAACTGGTAGAAAAAGGTTATTAGTTCCTGTGGCCACAGCATTTCATAATCATCACAGTTATTATGGGGCAGTCAACACAGATAGATACCTGAGTAATTCAATGTTTGGATAAGTAATTTGGAAAAGATCTGTGGTGAGGTGATGGGAACTGCGGATGACACAAAATTATTCTTTGGTGGTTAAAACTGATGCTTGCTCTGCAGAAGGTGTCGGGATATCAAATAGTTTAGTGATAGAATGTCAGTAAAATCAAGTGGATGTGAAGGGGTATGAGGTATAGCAGAAGAAAGTATGCTATATGAGTGTGATGTGAGCATTAAGTACTTGGTTAAATGCTTGGTTAAATGCTGCTTTGATCCTTGTAGGTGATCTCTGGAGTCATTAACTCTGTTATCAGTGGTGGGCAGAAAACTGGAATTGTTGGAAAGCAGCAGAGCAGAAAAGAGAAAGCCTCATTATGGTACTCTTCAAGCCCACAGTGAATGTGTGCCAGTGGAACTGTGCAGTTCTGGTCATTCCATCTCAGAAAGGTGGTATCAGAAGAAGTGGAGAGATGAGTGACTGTGTTGTCTGATATGGGATGGCTTCTGTATGAGAAGTTTCTAAATGAAGGAGGACTCTGATGTAAAGAGACAGAAGCAAGATGGGATAAAGGTCTATAAAAATGTAAATACCATAGAGCAGGCAGATGAGAGGAAGTTTACTATTTCTTGTAACAAGAAATCTGTGATACTCAGAGAATTTATAAAAGCCAATTAAAGTTTTTTCATGCAGAATATAAGAGGAAAGAAAGGGACTGAAATACCAGTCTGTAGTGTATTTGTTGTGTCCTCCTCTCTTCTGCACATTTTGGACTGATAGCTATCAGACACAGGATTTTGGGCTAAACAGACACTCGCATGACTCTCTGTGGGAATTCTTATATAATAACAATGCAAAGAAGTTTTGATAAATATACTACTGACTTGGGAATGTGACCATGGTATCCAGAGATGGTGCCTTTTTTGTCATATTAGAAAAGAAAAAAAAAAAAAAAAGCCCAAACCAAACATTTGTGTCAGAAGTAAAGAAAATGAGCTCATTGCTGATTGTCATGATTCCTCTCTAAATGTTCATAAAATGAAGGTGAATTGAAATTCCCATAGCAAACCTAGTATTTGTACAGTCTTCCACTTCAGGACATTTAGGTATCAACAGCACAGTCTGTCTTGAAGGATTACTTTGATTACAGTTAAGAGAAGCTAAAAAATAAGGACATTAAATGTGAAATTTGTGGGCATGTGTGTGTTTTTGTGCATGCCCATGAAACAGACTGGAGAAACACGAGTACTTTAGTAATTTGCATCTGAAATAAAGCATGCAAGTGACAAGTCACTGCAAACAAACACATTCTACTGAGTGTAAAGATTGCATTCAAAAAACAGCATTTCATTTTAGTGGCATAACTGTATCTGTGATTTACTGAGTAGCACTCTCAACTGTAAAGATAAGGGATAAAAATTGTATTTTTAGTAGTTGACTTGAGAACGGAGGTGAAAACTCCAATCAACTTTTTAAATATAATCATAAAACGAGTTCAGTATATTCTTTAAGAGTGTTTGAGTTTTTCTTTAATGTTTATCTCTTTCCTTTAGAGAAATGTGAAGCCTATGATGTGATGTTGAGGCAAAATCTTGTACCTGATGGGCAGCCTCTTGTTATTAAATGTTCACTGGAAAGGAGCTTGAAAAGTGGAGACTACAACTTAACATGGTACAAAGTTGGAAACCAGACACCTGTGCCTAGAGACAAGCTGTCTAGAGTTCATCAGCAGAAGAATTTTATTTTGTTTCTTCCTGCAATGTTAGAAGATTCTGGAGATTATGAATGTGTCATAAGGTGAAAGTTAAAAAAGACCCCAAACCTATATTTTTACAGAAATGAGTTGCAAAGAGAGTATCTTTTAGAAAGCAAGCCAAATTTTGAGGGTAAGGGAAATACTAATGAAGAAGAGGAAATGCATCTACAAAAGCTAACTTTAGTTTGGGGAAATTAAATCTATTTTGGTTTGTTTTTTTTTTTTTCCTTGTAGGCAACAGTAAATCTATTAAAGAAACTGTAAACATTTTTTCTTGTCTTTCTTCTCCAAAAATAATGCCATACATTTTTGACCTGCAAAATAATTTATTTGTGTTCTGTAATTGCAGGAATTTGACAAGCTGCAAGAAAATGCGTACAAAAGTAACAGTTTTTGAAAGGAGTGATGGTTTATGCTTAAATGAAAAATTTGCTGTAGAGGAGGTGATATCCACATCATATTCTGCAAAGGTCGTGTGTCCCCACTTGGATTATTTCAGGAAAGAGAAGAATATTCAGCCAGTTCGATGGTATAAGGTGAGAACATAGTGTTTTGTTCTGTCTTACAGCTGTCCATTATTTATGATAAAAAATCAGTGGTCTCTGAGAATTGGCACAGAAGAACTGAAGATTTATTGTAAATTGGAGAAAAATGCTTTTAAAACAAATTGAAATAGGATCAAGACTTTCTGTCTTTTAAAGGTGCTCTTGATTATCAGGACAGAATTTCAGCTGAGGTGTAGGAGTGATGCTGACCCACGTAGCCACTGTGGCATCCGTTCGCTTGCCAGGGAAAGACAGTCTTGTGTGGGACCAGATTTACTGTGGCACATCCATTAGGTGATCAGTACTGTTCTACTCCATTATTCTATTTCATGTTGTTCACACTCTCTTAAAGGCTCTTTCTGCTACAACAATGTAGGACCTTCTGCCAGATTCCTGCCTCAGGCTCATGCAGTCTGTATGCTACCACTAGTATTGAGGCTCCTTACAAATACAGTCTAATTATTGCGTGATGCTTCATTGATGAATACTTCGACAACTCACATTTTACTTTCTTATTTCTCTAATAGCCAAAGTTGTTTTCCAACTTTAAATCTTTAAATTAAAATCTCAACTGAAGTGAAGTGTGTATTTCCTCATATTCCACTGTCCTCACTCTTCCTCAGCATCTGCAGGGTGCCCATCCTTGTGCTGTGGTCCATTGAAACTTCAGATTGTATCAAAGAGAGACAAACCATGGAAATATACAGAAATATGAAATAACAGAGTTCTCTGCACACTTTTAGGACTGCAAGCTGCTGGAGGGAAAAAGGTTTGCCCTTTCAAACAGTGACCTTATAATTTTCAATGTGACTGTACATGATGGAGGAAACTATACATGTGAAACAACATATACCTACAATGAGAAACAATATAACATTTCACGAGATATCAGTCTGGTTGTAGAAGGTAAGTAAATAATTTCACTGTGTGTTCATAACAACTCCAAATTTTTGTTTCAACTTTGTAAAGACTGAAGTGAAAAGACCTAATGGATAGACATGCTTAGGACTACTGTTTTTCACCTAAATGTGCAGTAATGACTACCTAAGATATGGTACTTTCAGTACTGAGTGATATTTTGTTATAAAATGTCTGACAACCTTGTCTTTAGTATGAGGGGTGTTTTTAGGTTGTACTTGCATTATAGAGCATGAAACAGACTGCAACTGCCCCTGGTTTTCTGAAAATCACTTTCTTTCTTTTGCTTAGTGACCGCACCAAAAAAGCCTCCAGAAATAACTTACCCAAGAAACAACTCCATTGAAGTGGAACTTGGTAAGTAGTCTTCTCTAGAGAAAATATGAATGTGTATCCTAGTTAAGATGTATTCTCAAGTAGTGTCCTATTCTGTGCTTTCTTGGTTTCATTTTTTAAAAAAAACTACTTCAGTGACCAGATCCGTTTCTGTTGATCTCCCAAAGGAGGAATGAGGGGTGAGAGGGAAAGAAGAGAGGCATGTTACTTACAAAGTCCTACAGATTTCTCAGATGCAAGGAAAACTGTAGGAACTCAAGTGATTATCTGTCACATCTGTTGCTTTCCATCACTGTGGAAGTGATTCTAAGAACAGGTCTATCTCGAATCTGCAGGCAGAGTGATGCCCCAAGGGGAGCATCTTTTTTCTGGATTCAGCTTCTTCCATCCTGCCATTCTCTTTCTGGACCTGCAGATCACTGAGAGTATAGACCCTCTGTTTGAGTAACTTTTCTGAAAGGGTTTGCTGTCATCCTTAGCTGGTGTGCATGTGTGAAACTGTGAACAGGATTGTATTGACTTTAAATTAGGTTGTGGAAATTAACTTTTTACTTTGTAACACAATTTTATAGGCTCACAGGTTACTGTGGATTGCAATACAACAGGTGCTGATGGGTATGAGGTGTACTGGACAGGCAACGGTGTGTATATTGATGTATTTTATATGAGCAGAATTTTTGCAAGTCCCTATGAGTAAGTATATTTCCAGATTAGAAAATACTGTGTTGACAACCAAAGTGGAACTTTCTCCCTTTGACATTAAAATATTTAGCAACATTTTTCCCTTGCTTTAAATAGCATTCTTAAAAACTCTAATGCTGGCCTTGTCCAACTGGCTTCCTGCTTTGAAATAGTAATTTTAAACATAGTAGGCACATGGGCTTCACGTGTGATTGTGCATTTCTTGCTCATTGTAAAAAATCAGTCTGAATTTCCAGTGTTGGGAAAAGCTGTTTTGTTGCAGGCCCATAATTCTAATACAGTTGCATTTGAGCAAGCTCTGGCCTGGCAGAGACCTCTTTTGGTCAGATCAGGCATGTTCAGGTGCATGATCTTCAGTCTCTTTATTATATGTTCCACATCTGCCTCTCTGAAAGATGGCAAGAAGGCAAATCTGTGCTATACAGGAAAAAATGAGATTTCTAGGTTTAAGAGCATTACATTAGAGGAATTTAACTGAGATCAACTGAAGAGCTAATGGAAGATTTTATTGAGGGCATTTGTGCTGAAGCTTAGCAGTTAGAACAGGAAAACTTGATTTCCAGTTGATGAGGTGGGTTTTGGGAGGACTTGGACTGAGTAAAGCATGTGAAGGGCAAGTGGGAGATAAGGTGATGGTGAAAAGCAGGTTAAACGGAATTAGAAGAAAAGAAATTATACCTGACTGGAAAAACCAAGTCAAATTGGAGCAAGCGGCACTCTGACATTTTCTTAGACATTACAGGTTTTGAACTAAAAAATTTTTAGTTTTTTTGTCAGCCCTTATGGTGGCGCTGTGAATAAACAAATGTGATAATTTTTGTAAATTCTGGAGCACTATCTAGGACCAAAGCACCAGTGAAGAAAAGAGAATGATGTCTACAAAGTAAGAATATAGTTGCAAGAAATAAGTTTTCATCATAAAACAAAGGGAGAAATAAAATGCTGGCTTATTTGGGTGCTCACCAAGGGAAAACACTACGCAAAAGTAATATATTGTACTTTCATATAGAACTGTAGTGCCATAAACAATTTGGCCAGAATGCAGAGGCACACAGTCACTGAATTGATATTGCAAAAGCAATGTTATTTTTTGTGCTAGCTAGTGCTTACATGGTCATCTTTGGTCACTTGCATTAGTGATGCTGGTTCATTCATTCCCTGCATGTTATATCCTATTGTGAAATATCTATGTCCAAATCCTCTCAAAGGCATTGGGAAGCCCATAACAAGAGGTTACTTAGGTTCGTAAGGCGTACTTTTTAGCTTCCAGCTGTAGAAACCTTCCATTTCTTTGGGGAAACACAGCTGCAGATAAGATAACCTCTTGATGTCTCGATCTTCTCCAATGCATACGCTAAATGTCAGTACTGGGAGAGGTCTGACTGTTTGGCTTTCTTCCGTATTATGTAATTGTTTATCTGTTGTGAAGTGTGGTTGACATTTGCAGAAGGAAATAACCACTGTTGTGCTGCAGGTGTTAGAGATGAAGGCATTCCTGAAAGGCCTATGGTTTTATGGTTCTATTTTTCATCTTTTGGACAGGGAAGAAACTTCTTACGATGGGCGCCCTATACATTCTCTGAAGCTGATAATTTCAGAAGTGAGCAGTGAAGATTATGAACAGCCTTTTGTCTGTCAAGCTTCAAATGCCTTTGGGCAAGTTGCATCCTATATTATATTAAAACACAGAGGTAAGAAGTACTATTATTTTTGAGGCCTAATTTTGAGATAATTATCTATATGTCCCCAGAAGGTGTTTTGATACCAAATTCTCGTGTATCATGTTGAAAGAAAACAGATGTATTACAGCCTGCAGTATGCATGTGCCTGGGCATAGGGAAGAAATCACTATAGCATTGTATTTATCATTATTTAAAAAACAAGGTAAATAGGAATGAAAAATGGAATATTCAAATTTGAATTGAATTAATGTGAAAGATCAGATTTGGACAAATTCAATGTTTAAAAAAATTTCTTATAATTTTGTGCAGTTCCTGACATACGAAGTTGGCTAACTGGAGGACTCGTCTCTTTGCTGATTTTGACATTTATTACTTTAATAATCTACAAGATTTTCAAGATTGATTTGGTGCTTTGGTACCGTAATTCTGTCTGTGCCCTTACAAGTAAGGAAGGTATGTGAGTGTGACCAGGTATGTAAGTGTAATTAGCCTATTGACTTTTTTCACTTGCCATTACTTCTGAGAAATATTTGGATTATTTAGTACAATGTACATAGAACTTCCATAAGGAATTTTCAGATGTGCACCAAGACATTTTGTGGAGGATTTATTCAGTCATGCGGGTAAAATATATAATTATGCTTGAAGTAAGAATGTCTGTGTAATACTGAAGGCAATCATAGTGAGATAGGCCAAAGGAACTATAGGTTATTCCAAAATGAACATGTTTTGTTTTTGCTTTTCTGTAGGTTTTTTACTTGTAGATTTGTGGTCACTCTGATGATGAACAATAGGTGTCAGCAGAGCTACATCCTGTAAACTGGATGTTTAAAGACATGTGTTAAATATTTATTTTGAAAATCAGACTCATTTGTCAGAGATTAATTTTATTTGGTTTCTTTTTTTTTCATTTTGCAATTTCTCTCCATTACCCTCACTTTCCTTCTCAGTCCTGTCAGTTATGATGTTGACATATCAAAGAGAAAATTTGCTGTGAGTTCTGTGTTCTGGGATTCTTCTAATGTGTTATAGCTTAATGCACTGTAGGCAAATATATTGGATAGGTGTGAAAAGTTTGAAATAAGCACAACATCATAGATATATTTCATGTCAGTTCTCAGAATTAGGCTGTCTGAAGTTCCCCATGCCTTGAAAGTGAATGGATTACACACATTAAGATAGTTAATGTTTACTCATGGCTGTCCTAAATGTTTTCATGGAAAAGTAATTTCAACTCCTGGTCAAAAATTCAGTTTTACTATAATAGAGTTCTAATTAAAAGGGAAAAAAAGAAAAAAAGTCAAAGTTTTTAAGTTGTTGAACTAGATCTGATTTTGGCTTGGTTCTTTCAGTCCTGCTTGCAATGGAGCCTTAACTCTCAAAACCTCAGAAGCCTTCTGGCCTTTTCTGCTGCCTGTGAAAAGCCCTCCCAGGATTATTACAAGAAAGAATTGCCATTTTTCCACCTTCTCTTGTGGTTAGTCAGAAGTGGAGATAACTGCTGTTGAGTTTCTTTCAGGAGAGGTGGTGAAGAAAGTCCTGTGAGAGGGTAATTCCTCAATGTCCTGGCCCCTCTGGGGCTGGGAGCTCCTTCCTGCAGGTCCCAGGTCCTGCACCCAGCTCATTTGGTGACTCCTCCATCCCCAGGATGGGAAAGGAAGTCAGATTCTGTGGCTGATCATCTTTATTTTGATTCACAGAGCATTTTACTTCCATGAGGTGGTTCTGTCAGATGGGTAAAATCAGCCCCACATTACTATTTCTAAACAATCCAAAAATGAAACTTTGAAATAAAGGCATTTTTCCTAAGTTTCAGATTTTTAATAAAAATGTTTGTGTTTATTTCAGATGGGAAAATCTACGATGCATATGTCCTGTACACAAAAGGCAGTGAAAGCAGAAGTATCTGTTGTCTGGAAACCTTTGTTCGTAGGATACTCCCAGATGTTTTAGAAAAACAATGTGGATATAACCTTTTCATATTAGGAAGGGATGATTTACCAGGAGAAGGTATGCCTTAATTAGCAGAGGTAACAGGTTGCCTTTTGACACATTGTTCTCAGGTTATAAGTTTATCTATAAATTAAAACCCACACTTTTGGAAAAGAAAGCTGTATTCATTTAGTTTTAATGGATAAGTTGCCCAATGCAATTTTTCTTTCTTTTCTTTTTCCTTACTGAAAATTCTGTTCTAATGTTATGAGAGTCTGCACTTCCTTAGTGATGAACAAATGAGGACTTAATAGCATTAATAACAAATAATAATAGCTGTTGAGTTTTTTTTTTTTTTTAATGGTATCTTCTCCAAAGGGCTGAAGAAAACAGTTTTTTTATAAGTTATGTCATGCAATGGATCATGAATCATGACTGTCAGTGTGAAGATCTTAAAGCAACCACTGCTCTCAGCTAGCCACAGCTTCACATGTTTGCAATTTTAAAAAAGAGAACTATTTTACACCAGTTGTAGTTTCCATGCAGACTTTGACTGTTCCTTCATCACTTACAGCTGTGGTCAGTGTTGCTGATGAAACCCTTAAGCAAAGCAGAAGATTGATGATTATTTTGGGATCAGAAACATCTAGGTGCTGCCTGTTAGAAGACTCCTCTGAGCAACAACTAGCTATGTATAATGCTCTCATCCGTGATGGAATTCAAGTGATTCTTATAGAAATGGGTGAAATACAGGACTACACAAGCATGCCAGAATCAATCAGATACATTAAGCAAAAACATGGAGCCATTCAATGGAAAGGGGACTTCTCAGAGAAATCTTGTTCAGCAAATACAAGGTTCTGGAAAAATGTGCGCTATCAAATGCCATCCAGGAAAAAGGTATCTTATTCTCAAGTGCATCTGTTGCCCCTAACTCGGAACAGTTCTGCAGCAAAGGGAAGTTAAGAAGCACTTATTTAAATAATACTAAGAGGGTAATTCTGAATTGGAATGTTTTTTGCATAGTCTTTATACTACAAAGTAGATGTTTTCTTTGAGGAAACTGCTCATCCCTTCCATAAATTACACCCTAAAAAAACAAAACCAACTCTGTGCAATTTTATTTCTGTTACAAGTTTTGGATAGTGACACAATTTGTTGTGTTAGTCTCCACCAAATATTAAAAATAAACATGGTGATGGTGATAGGCTATTAAGTAGCTGTGGTCCACATAAATATTGTATGAAGAAATAGCTGTGAAGTCCATTCTTAAAAAAATCAAAACTGCAGTTGAAAAATTAAAAGTCTATCATCAGCATTTTCCTTGTCATTCTGTTCCAATTCTTATTGCCCCTCCATGATTGTCTGATTTGCTTATAGCTGCAAGAATCTGCTCTGTGCAAGCTTTGTCTCCTGAGCAACAGATCTTACCCTTGCTTCTTAAAAGGGTTGGGGAAATCCATGACATAACAGTATAATTTAAAACTCATCACAACACTAAATGTGTTTCTGCTGAACAGTTGGTACCAAATGTGTTCAGCAAATGGAAGGGAATGAAATCTGTGGATTTTTAGACTGTTGAACAATTCTGTGGTATCTGGTATATGTTTTCTTTTTAAACTATGTAATGCTTAGGAAACTGAAAATAGTTTGTATTTCTTGAGAATGGGAAGCTTTCTAGACTGTGCTGCTGCTCTGGAAACCAGATGTTCTCATGCTGTGTCTCAGCTCTGCTAACTGCATGCGCAGAAATTCACTGAGAATCTATCAAAGAACTGTGCTTGGGTTGGGTATCCTGGAGAGTGGAAAGTGGCCAGTTCTGGAACATGACCAAATTCTAATGGCAAGAAACAGTATCTCATCTACTTGTGAGAGAAAAAGTAAGAGGCATATGGCTGTATCAAACTGCTTGAGAGTAGCTTGGTATTTCTGGACCCCAATCCACTTTTGTGCATCATTGTGAGAAAATGACATGCTGCTTCCTTTTCAAGGTGGTCTGAAGCAGCAGGAGTTTTTATGCTCCAGCCTTGAAGAACATCATCTGAATGCAAATAAGAATTTTGCTTGCTTTTTTAAAAATTATTTTCTGAAGTTATGTAGGTTCTAACATCGTGTTTATTGCCAGGATAGCGTCTGTCATGGAATTCCTTTCAGCTGGTTCTCAGAGGTATATGTATCTAGAATATATTCTTCATTGGGCTGTATTGATGGGAAAGAAAGCAAAATCTAGGAGTGAAAACATATAATCAAAGGGAAAGATTTCCAATAGCATTTCATGGTACTTTTTTCTATGTAAAGGTGTGGTAAATACTCCTTAGGAGCAGTGTCTCTTTCTCCTGGCTGTGGGGTTCACAGGCATGTAATTTTCCACAGCCTTTGCTGACTAAAGTTAATTTGAGGTGTCACCAGGAAAACTGGGAGCAGAATAGATCCATCAGGTGAGGTACTGTTGTCCTAGTAGATGTTGAATTCATATTTTTCAGAAATTAATAATATTTAGGCTGGAACATTTAAAAAATAAATTTAGGGACTTAGAGAATTCAGATAATCATAATTGTCAAATTTTTACATTGTGTTGAGACTTAGCTTTCTCAAAAAAGTATTTAAAATTAATTTCCTTCCTTCCTTTTTAAAATTTGTGTTTTAAAACAGAACCTTCTTATTTTCCATGTAGAAGAGGAAAAATATGAGGAAAAGATGTTGAAACTGAGGCAGATTTTTTCAGCTTCCTTATTTCATATGCTTTGAAATAAAAAAACAAACCAATGACTAGGACTTGCAGCACTACTTAAAAGTAAACTGATTTGCAATTTGTGCTGGTGGTTTTTTTTGTGTTTTTTTTTTTTTTTTCTTCTGTGAATGTGCAGTTATGATTTCTGGTTCCTTTTTTTCATAGTTCTTTTTGGAGGTTTGCCACAGTATTCAGGATAAGGGTTTTCCTATTTCTCCCCTAAATGAGAATCCTAATAACTCTTAAGTGTAGACAGATGATTGTAAGTCACCATTGATTGACCTGATACTTTCTTTCAAACAACCACATTTAGTATGATTATTTTGTGTCCTTGTGTAAAAGTGAGTGTGGGGGATAGGTTTTGGTTTTCATGGTTGATGGTTAGCTGGCTACTTCAATGTAGCACAAGACTAGATGGCATATCCTTTTATCAGGGGGATTAATTTTGAAGATGAATTTTGTCTTTGTTTTTTCTTCTTGGAAACTTTATTTTGCAAGTCACATAAGAAACCACAATATTTTTTTGTGGTACAATAAAAGAAGTCCCATAGAGACAGATGTGCTGGTTGGTCTTTATTAAAAAAAAAAAAAAAAAAAAAAGTCAAATCCCAACAACTCCAGAAATGATTAACTGGCAAGAGGTTTGCCCCTGAAAACTTGGCAGATTCAGAAGGAAAAGGCAGTGTAATCAATGGAAGAATATTTGTTCACCACTTTGTAGTAGATATATTCCAGTTTATTTTTTATGCTGACAGAGAGAAAATTCTAAATAGTATGTGGTGTAAGATACATTGAAAGCATGCCCTGAACCATTTTTAGCTTTTCTAACTTGGTTAAGGTCACCTACCCCAGCTGTGTCTCTGTTGCAGTGACACTGGTGGTTGGGTTCTTTTCCCCAGGACTGGGGATTGACAAGAGAGAAAGACTGTTTTCTTTTGTTTGGGTTCAGCTGTTTATTCTTTCCTTATTTATATTACATATACACAGAGTACGAGGAGCTACATACACTAAGACAGAAAGGTGTGAAATGGCTAATGAAGAATCTCTCCAAGGCCTTTTATGTGTCTATTTACCCAATAATAATATTCCAATTAACTTATTTTTTAGTGACCCATTGACCTGACACCTGCGTGCTGCAATGTGGACTTTTTTATCCAATCCCCTAATATTACCCAAAAACCCTTAGAAGACGAAGAAGGAAGAAGAACAAGAAGAAGGAGACAACGCCCCAAAGTCTCCATCTTGGATTCCCTTATTAATATAAGTAAAACTCCAAAATCTAACTTTTTCACCCAGTGACTTAAGATAACTCTATCTAACTTACACACTCACATTATTAGTTTCTTTGCTCAACTTTAGAAGCTGTCTCCATGGTTTCAGGCTAAACTCAGTGTTCTCTTGGGTGTCAGAGCCTGTCAGCACAGACAAAGGAATATTTCCTGTGCCTCGGATTCCTGACATGTCTCCTCCCAACCTCCCATGCAAAACCAGCACAGCATCTATGACTGTATTAATTCATGGATAGAGGTTTATGTGATTGGGAGGAATGTGCACTGAGCTCAGAATGAGTTGTTAGACCTGGTAAAGTTAGTGCAGTAGCCCCAGTCAGGAGCGCCCTGACTGACTTGGGGTGTTTGTTTGGTTTGGGGATTTTTCCATTAAATTTACCTCTGTATTGCATCCTAGAAGGTAGAAGAGTACAAGAGCAATTTTACATTTTCCCTTTATCTTGGTGCCTTGAGCTTCTGCTTGAGAGGTAAGCCCATCCTGCCTTTTGTTGAGACACCATGGTAGCTCAGTGACTCCACCTCCTTTCATAGCTGCAGTTAGCTTGAAGATGAATCAGGCAGGATACAGTTAATATTTATGACATCTGTGCTAAGGAGAGACCTTTTTTCTAGAAGTACCAAAGAAGTATTATGTTGCAGAGCTTTGGAATACATGTCAGTAAAATCAGTGGCTAGCAGCTTTCCTTCAGGGTATTTCCAGGTCTCAGGTTTAGTCAGAGATGTTACAACTCATGAACATAGGAGAAATGGCATTTCCTCCTCTCATCTTTACACTCATTATTCTTAAGAGTAAAGACAAAGCACACCACTTGATGTGCATGTTTATTCTTTTAATTCAGGATAATATTTACCAGTACTTGATGTGTTTGTTGAGACAAACTGAAGATTAGTCACTAAAAGAAAGCTAGAAAATATCTGTAGTAGAAACATTTGCTTCCTCAGCCCACTCTAAGATTGCTTCCCATGTTAAAACTGATTGAAAAAAAGGAGTCTGATGTCTGCTGGGAATCAGTTAAAATGTACAGCTTGTGTGCCTCCTCTGGCAGGGCACCTGGGACAACATGGCATTGCAGCTGGAGTTAGAGCCCTGCTTGGCAGTGTTTGTCAGGGGTTACTATCTCACCCTGAAGAGAGGTAGAAAAGTCACCAAGTCGTTAAGGAGAATTTTTTGCTCCAAAAAGTTGATTTTGAATTGCTGCTCCAGATCAGGTGCCTTAGATGTGCAAATATTTCTGGTTCATTTTTGCTGCCAGGCACTCATCTGATCTTGCCCTAGTTTGATTTTTTTCCTTGAGCATAGCAGTGGCTGTAGTAGGAGGAGAATTTTGAACACTGTCTCATTAGTTTTTTTTTCTTTCTTTTTGATTAAACACTTTTCCTGATGGGATTTATTTCTGTTGTCAATTATTAAAATCCATGTTCTCTCTTCCCCTTACCTCACTGGTTATATGCATCAGTGGACTGCTTCCTTTTCCTTCATTGTCTATGACAACACATCCCAGTACTTGCTTCATCTCTCCTTGAAAGTTGATCTTTTTGCACTTTCTTTCTCTCTTTATCTAATGTCCCCTGGAAGGTGTGAAGGGATCAAGTCCTTAAGAAAACATTTTTTTCTTTCTTTGAACACATAGTTTCTAATATCCACACTGTTTGTTTATTTGTTTGTTTTCTGGTGTTTTTTTCTTTCCAAATATGCATAACATAACTATTTCTTCTGTGCCATGGAATTGGGGGACTTGGAGAAGCACTGGATTTGGAAAGAAAATCAAACAATCTACTCTTTTCTGAGTACTCTCTCACTCCTAGGGAAGCACGCTCAGGCTGTATCAACTAGACCTGTATTTTCTAGGAAAGGTGTGAAACAGCTACATAATTTCAAGTGGAGCATAGCAGAAATGGCAGGACAAATGCATCTTTAGGACCCTGAGATCAGCTCAGGGGGTCAGAGCATGGCACTAATAACAACAAGGTTGCATGTTTTATCCCCATATGGGCCATTCACTTTAGAGTTGCGCTTGGTGATGCTTGTGGGTCTCTTCCAACTCAGAATATTCTGTGATTCTGTTTAAAGACCCTACAGAGAGGCAAAGGAGTTTACAAATTCTCCTGAAATGGTGAATAATCAGGGTATTTGGGAGTAACAAAAAATAACATTCATCTTTCCCTTTAAAACAGAAAAAAGCCTTGGCAGTTAACTCCCCTACATATTGCCTCCAGGAACAAACAAGGAAAAAGCTAAAGAGCTGTCTGGACAGGGACACTCACAGTGGGGAAAAAACTTGTGTGCCATATGTCCCCCTTCCATCTGTGTATGCTCTCTTCTGGGTCGTGACATCTGGTTCTGCTTGATATCTGGCTCTGATTCCTGTATTTTTAAAGTAAATGGGACTTAATTCTCCTCAGAGACTGAAGGGAATAGACCACATGCTGACTTTTAAAAGAAAAGCCAAGTTTTTCATAAAAATATGTTTCCTCATCCTAGATCTGAATGGCTTGGTACACGTGTGCATTTAAATGAGCCAAAGATGTGCCAGCACCGTCTGCTGTCACTTTTAAAAAGCTGCTAACTTTGGCATGTTTGACATTTTTGGAGGGTTGGGCCATAAAGTTAGTTGGGTACCTAAATTAGAAGATGAATTGGCTTATTATTATGGGAAAGATCACGTCCAAGAGAGCAGACAGCTGAGGATGGGGAAAGGCTGGGTGTTCCAGGGTGAGGACTGGTGAGCCATAGAAGTTGGCTGTGGGGATCCTGAAACCCCTGGAGCCCTGAGCCACAACAGCCTTGTGCCATGCAATGCCTCCACCTAGTGATGCCTGAGACTGAAGCTCTCCCCTTCCAATAAAAGCCACACTGTTTACATGAGATCATAATGAAGTTCTGCTGCTAATAATGCCAAGCCACAGCTTTAAAGAAAAAAAAAAAAGCACACGAAGAGGGAGTAAATAAAAGAAGATACTTTGACAACTGCTGTTCTGAATTATGCTGTAATTATTATTTTTAGTGCTTTCCTGTCCTTTGTAAGAACTAGTAGGGAATTCAGTGGAAAATGAGAGTTTTGGGCTTTGAGTCTGCGCAACTGTTAATCCAGAGCCTCAGAGCTGATTGGGAAATAGAGAGTAGCAGAGCTCTGTGGAGTCATGTTTCTTAATCAACCTCCAGCATATGTCAATTAGATCTAATTGAGCAACTCTTGCCTCTGGTTATTCCAAGAAGAAAACTGTGACTGGAGACCACTTCACGTGGTGTCTGCGTTCCAGCAGATCAGCTGTGCATAATGGCTGGAGGATCATTACTGGCCATGTGCTACCCAGGCAACTGAGAGTTCTAGAATTTACTTGACATAGTGATAGATGAGGAATTGGTGCCTAATTTAGTGATCTAGTCCCCTGAGCTGGGAACAAATGGATCCAACAGTTACATGGTGAGAAGATCTTGGAGTCTTGGATGCTGAATTGTTTATAGGAAGCCAGACAGCAAACGAGAGTAGGCCCCTAGAGTCCTTGAAGAATTGCCTCAAGGCTGCCATCAGAGAGGAGCAGTCAGTTCATCATGAAGATCATCTGAAATGGAACATCTCAGCATTCTTGGGAGCAGAAAGCACTGGCTGCCTGAAATGAGCAGTCCTCAGTTCC